TAAATGTTGCGTAACAAATCAAACATAGAGTCATGGAAGTTAGGGAAGCAAGGCAGTGAGGGAATGGGTTTGGTATTGACTTACTGAATGGGGCTGCTGAGCTACACCCTTTAGCGTCTCTGCCTATAAATTCTGGTGCCCTCCTGTATCAGGAGCTCCAAGGAGATGGCTGCCACCATGATCTTGTCTTGGATGGTAATGATAAGTCTTCAAATTCAAGTGGATACAGGTAAAGGGTTTCACTTCTGATCACCTTCGTGGCTATATTTCACGTCAGGCTACTGTTGAGATTTAAGGGTAAAAGAGGATTTAGCTGCACGGCTTAGCTCTTTCAAAAACCATGAGCTGGTCAAACCTATGAGCTGAGCAAATAAATCGTTATAGCCATTAATTCAGAAGCTTTTATTGAAACTGCTTAATGGATTTAAATTGTTGTTCTCACCATTTTTTTGTAAAGAGGCTTGTAAAGGAAATTCAGATGAATATACTGCAGGGCCTATGATACAATTTTCTGAATCTTTGTATTGGGGTAATGAATTTAAAGACTAATATGTCTTTTCTGGATGAAATACATGTTTATTTTAAAGAGTGTGAGGTGCTCTTTGGACCATGTGTTTTGTATTTGATTATTGATTATTAAGTATATTGTTACGACTGACACATTGGTGTTTAATAAGACAGTGCCCTAGATAAAACAAGTATGGTACATGTCCCTGTTCCTATTATTATTGTAATTATTAGAATATAATGGGAATTACTGTATTTTTTTATTATTCTAATTTCACATAGTCTAATTCCTGTTACGAGTGTAATTTGATTTGGTGGCAGAGGCAGTGATCTGCCCAGGCACTTTCATCCCTTTGGGGACCGATACAAATATTGGTGGGTCTGATGGGAGGGAGGATGCTTCAAACAGGGTAAAACCATCTTCCTGTGTTCAAAAAAACACTTTCCCCTTTTTCAGCCGAGGCTTCCCTGGCTGACCAGAGTGCCAGCACGGTGCTGCGAGAAACAAGGCATTTCTTTTTAAGCAGTTGCTGTCACATCCTTTGTGCAGGAGTGGGGAACAGAAAAAGATCAAAAGTGTTTGCCATAGCTGCTGTCTTTCCACCCCTTCCTCCTTCAGACGGAAAGTTCTGAAATGAACTTGACTTGAACTAATGAACCAAAAGCAGGAACCTCTTTTGCCTTTCTGTGCTCCTGCACAGTGTCCACCTCCATAAATATTTGAGGTGCAATTAGTGATAACAAAAACCAAGCTGGAATGTTGATATTGAGCTGGAAAATACTGAGTTACTGTTTAATCCTTTGGTTACCCTCTAATTAATTTAGACTTGAAGCCTTGCATGCTTGAGGAGCAGTGTGGTGGGACGTATCGGAAAGTTCTCCACTTACTGAATAAATGACACACCTCCCTGTTAGGATCTTCTTCTACATCCAGAAATCACTTTAAATACACAAACGGTGTTTTTAAGGGCCAATGTTACAGGTCTTATCATACACGATATTAGTCAGTGAAGGCATATTCCCACCTCTCAGGCTGTCCCTGGAGCAGGATTTTTATCACCAAGAAGAGCTGGACCTGATCCACTCCCTTGTAAGTCAGCAGACATCCCTTTGTCAGTGTCACCAGGGGATCCTGTGCTTGCAAACTTTCCATCCGCATTATTTATTTCATGTCATGTTCTTTCAACTTTTTTGTTGTTGTTGCTAGTGATGACAATATCTGTAGTTCGGACACCAGCAAGTTCTGCGACAGAAACGCTTCTAGCAACAGGTAACTTAAAAGTTATAGAAAAATGTACATTGCTTATAGAGTTGGAATTACTAAATATTCTCTCAAAGCTGATGCTTGCATTTGAGAAGCCGTAGCCAATGTAGCCAATCTACCGGTATAGTTGGGGGTTCAGTGTCCTTCAGACTGGGCTCCCAGATGCTGAAATGTACCCATACAGAATCTATATGGTAGGGTGCGCATGCACTTAAAATGCAGCATGTAGTTGAATATCTGTCATCCCTCTCCAGGAAAGAATGGAAGTCATTGCTGCAATGAAGAGTTTAAATAAATCGGTGCTTGGGCTAAAACCTTAGGATAATAATGCCATGTAGAAAACACAGACTGTATAAACGCAGAAGTTTCTGAGTATCTGAAAGTCCAGAGGAAAGTTACGCGTGGTTTGAACAGACAACTTTTAACTGACTACAAGTTCATAGACTGTTTTCCACTGACCTATACAGAGAGAGAGCAGGACCTCACTGCCCCCGCGAAATGCCCTCATTCATTTTAATTACAGGATTGATGCTGTCACTTGATCCTGTGACCTGATTTTTCCACGCTTTGCTGTGCTCGCTCTCGTCTTACTGGACCCATCAGCTCATCTTTTTCAAAACTGCAATTCTGACAAAGTAATACAGTGACGCTGTGATTAAGGCAATACAGTAACGAGTTTTGTTTCAGTAACTGCATTTATTAAACTAAGTCAAACACTGGAACAACTCTGTTTATGCTTTGAAACTAGGCTTTAAACAGCCAAACTCACCTCCTTTAAATCCTTTCAAACATTTCTCTGCTAATTTTGATTTTTTTTCTAAAGGTGAGATTTTAAGCTAATATGCAAATTATGCACAAAAATGGAAAAATCTATCTTTAATGGGTACTTGCTGAGTGTATTGGTGTTGTCTTGATAAGTCTACTCACAGCTATGCTTTTGGAGAGGTTTGTTGACTTTCACTGGTATGTGTGACCAGTGATGTGAATAACGATAGTCTCCAGCCATGTAGATTTTTATCTTTAACCGTCTGAATTATTAATTAGTATTTAGTTGATAACTGCTTGACTTTTCCAAGCTTAACAATTAAGAGTAATAACATGTACATAGCCATTGTTAGGGCTCAGAAAACTGCATTTTGTGAAAGACGGTTTCCCAATTAGAGCTGAGCTGTTTCTTAACAGTGCATGCTCTGTGCCAAAGGACATCTATTCTGAAATACACGGTTAAATATACCAGTATATCAAATGCGTGTTCACTTTATCAAGGACATGGAATTGTCCGAGTGTAGCTGAGTTTGAATGAGACAATTCTTAAAAAACCCTTACATAATCCTCTGAGGACGTCTGGAGAGTTGCCAGCCCTGGTGCAGAAGGGTAACGGTGGTCTGTACGCCGTCCTTCTCCTGGATTTCGAATAACCCCACAAAGCCCCGTCTCAGAAAACCGAACTCTCTCGGTTAGATGAAAGGAAAAGATCACAGAAACACTAGGAAGGAGATGGCCTTTCTCGGCTTGCCACAGCCCTGTCCCAGGGGACGCCTTCGATCTGTTGGTGCCACCTGGAAGGCTTTCCATCAGCTGTCCTGTACAGGAGCCTTAGTAGAGAAAACCCTGCTTTGACCCAGAGATCCTGCCACCAGATGCGGTCAGCAGCAAGGTATGGATGAAATCGGTGGTGTTGGGAGGGGAAGGGAACGAGAATAGCTTAAATGCGGTAGGAATGTGAGCAAAACTTGTCACAGGTAGCTTTTGGAGACCCCCTTTTTGCCTGCAGCTGTGCAAAATAAAGGAAGATAATGGGATATGCAGCCTCCCTTGCCACTGGCCTTGCTCCGACCGTCTCCCCAGATAGCTTTCTGTCATCTTCATTTCTCTTAAGAGTTTTGGGGTAGCTTTGTTGTTCTTGGTATGCAGAAAGCGAGGAGGAGACAGTTGTTCACAGCCTGTTCTCATGGAAGAAACAGAGCCATCAACTTCTGATCGATTCAGGTGAAACCAGAGTATACATTGTTCAAAGCAGAGAGAGACTCTTCCCACCTCAAGGGCACCTGGCACTCTCTGGGCCGGTTGCAGGTTTTGGTGGGTTCACAAAGAGATTTGATGATTAATGGAGGAAAAAACTCCTCAGGTCTACTAAGATAGAAAGAAACCTCCTGGATCTAAATTTTGTCAGCCACAAATTGCTAGGGGCTGAAATGGTATTTAAGGAAGATTCATAATATATATTTGCCTTGTTGACCTCCCCATATGGTAGCACATGTGTTTTTTTTCTTCTTTAGAAGAAACGACAAGTACAGCTCCCCCAACAACAACTAAGACCACTTGTAAGTAGAATTTATCAGACTTTTTATGTTATATTAGAGTGACAGCCTTGTACTTTTGCCATCATATTTATTCTTGGGAAGAAATTTATATGAAGAAAAAGCTCACTTGTTTGCTTTATGCTAGGACCGAGGGGGTGTGAGAGAAGAAAATTATGTGGGAATTGGGATTTTGGGGATGATTCTGCCCCCCACCATCCAGCATCCTTGCTAGGAAGAAAGCAATCTTCTGTTGCTTAAGCCCTTCACTGGGGACTTGACTTGACTCACTGGGGAAAGATCAAAGCACACCGATGACTCCCAAGGGATTTGTCCTAATACACTTACTCTCTGTGTGTTTTTTTCTGCTTCTTCTCTACCACAGTTTCAATCATAGCTGATGGTGAGTCTGTCTGCCAGGACCCTCATCGTGGCCCCCGACATGGGGACGTATCTGTCCGCTGCTGCCCCAGCCTCTCCGTCCCCCAGCGTGGGAGCCCGAGAAGGGGCTGCCAGCCCTGAGCTGTGCTGTGGGTGGGTGCCTCTGGGTGTCAGGGGGCTGCCGTGCCCGAGGGGAGCCTGCACTTTCCCGTCGCTCTGCTGGGAAGCAGGGGGTTAAACCTGAGAGCACAGGCCCACCATCCCAGGGGTAAGGTCCTGGCCCCCACGGCTTTCCCAGGGCGCATGCAAGATGAGGATGGTTTGCAAAGACCTGTGGGCCTCCCTGGACCGCCGGCACTGCCCGCTGTCTCAGGCATCGGGCAGAAAATGTCCTTGCTTGAAATTAGGGCACTGCTGGCCTGACCAAGGGTTTTGTGTCTCTCAAAGAGCTGTTGCTGCAGCTGACTGATGGGCCAAACAGATGTGCAGGCAACGTGCAAGTCTTCTATTTTGGAGGCTGGGGAAAAGTGTGCGGGTACCTGTGGGACATGCAAGACGCCCAGGTTGCGTGCAGGCAGCTTGGCTGTGGCTCGCCTCTTGGTGTGATGCACTATTTCCCTTCGAGTGACTGGTACACGTACATGTTGACGGAGGTGAATTGTGAAGGCTCTGAAGACTATCTGTGGTATTGCCCTTACAAGGAAGAATACTCTGTCTGTTATCACGGGGCCGCTTCTGTCATATGCTCAGGTGGGTTTTTGCATTTTGGGGATGTTTTCTTGGAGAAAACCCATTTGGAGTTTGTGGGAGGCTGGGCGAAGGCTGCTCTGTGTTCTGCAGGTCAGGAGTGGGTCGTGGGTCCGTGTCCTTGATGCAGGGGGCCATGTTACTGAGGGAGCACTGTAGCTGCTCTTGCAGACTGTACTTGGGAGATCTGGGATTCAGACGACGGCTTGCGTGCAGAGCAGGGTGCAAGGAGGGGGTCAGTTTTGAGCCAGGCCACCCTCTCCACGGGGTCCCTCCGTAGCTCTCTCTGAGCTTATAGCATGTGCTCTGAGGGGAGCCAAGGGGTCCAAGTGCCTCACACCCTCTGGTTTTCTCCTTCCAGACTCCGGACTAACAGTGCCTCCACCAACAGGTAACCAGAGATTTCTGTTTACATTCTTCTTCTCCTTGGGGTGCTCTGCCTCTGGGATGCTCTGCCTCCATCACAGCACAAGACCCAAATGTGGGCTGCACTTACAGACCCTGGGTAACGTTCCTGATGCTCAGGAAGGTGCAGGATCGCTTGGAATCCTTTGGGATTGAGCAGTCACTTCTTCTGTGGGAGAAGTTTGGCGCTGGTCTTCATGGTGTCACAGTGGTGATGCCCTTGAGCAAGTGCTGGGGCAGTTGGTACTGCAGCCATCTTCCTGAGTCCTGCCACATTACAGTGCCGACTGTGGGTTGTGGGTTTCATTGTCTGGGGGTTCCCTTTGCAGAGGGGTGACTCCCAGCAGGATGTACCTCTTAGGCAAAAACACTGCTCACTCACCTGCTGCTCTCTCCCTGCAGTACCAGATAGCTCCAGCTTGACGCCCACCGTGTCATCGACCTCAGGTACGTCCGGAGGAGTTGAGGAGTCTGACTAGGTCCTGCACCCAGTTATGGACCACAGAATTATGGGATGGTTGAGGCTGGAAGAGACTTCTGGAGGTCATCTGTTTCAACCCCCCTGCTAAAGCCAAGTCACCTAGATCTGGCTGCCCAAGACCATGTCCAGATGGCTTTTGGCTATCTCCAAGGATGGAGAGTCTACCACCTCTGTGGGCAAGCTGTGCCCATGCTCAGTCACACACACACACACACACACACACACCCCCACAGTGAAAAAGTGTTTCCTGATCTTCAGAGGGAACCTCCTATGTTTTGGTTTGTGCCCATGGCCATTTGTCCCATCACTGGGCACCACTGGAAAAGAGCCAGGCTTTTGGAGAGGGTTGACTCCCAGCAGGTCGTTCCTCTTAGGCAAAATACTCCAGCTCAACTCCCCCCATGTTGTTGACCACGTTTAGCTCCAGAGGGGTTAAGGGGTCAGGTTATCTCCTGCCCTAGGTGTCCCACTGGATGGCCAGGCCCCGCCGATGGGTATTACAGTCCCGGCCAAGCACAACTTGTGCTCTGGGCTGGGAGGACACAGCTATGAGGCTTTGGGGTGCGGCCACATGCCCGGGAGGGAGGGTCTCTGTGGAGCTGTGGCACAGCCTCCTTGCTGGTGGCCATGACCTTCTTGGACAGCTTCTGGCAATGAGATTTCAAGAGCCCTCTGCCCGACCCCAGACTCTGCTCCTTTCCACAGGGTCCAGCTCCTGCGGTGGCTTGCTTCAGGGTTTGTCCGGCTCAGTCCAGAGCCCAGGGTACCCCAACTCCTACCCCAACAGCATCCGCTGCGTGTGGCGCATATGGCTGCGGGAGGTGGATCACAGAGTTGAGCTCCACTTTTTGGATGTCGAGTGAGTCCAGAGGGGTGCTGGCTCTGGGATCAGGGGTGGCTTTGTCCCCATTGTGGGGCCTTGGCCGCCTCTACCCAAGAGCCAGGGCCAGGCTGGGAATGGGGTCGGGTTGCTTGAGCCCTGCAGCTCCTGCTGATACTCATGCTGGGAGGTGGCACAGCCTGCGGTGCAAACAGACCCTCCTCTCCCTCCACAGGCTGGAAGGCAGCAGCTGCCAGTACGACGCCATCGAGGTGTACGACGGTGGGTCCCCTGGGGACCCGCTCCTCGGGACTGTTTGCAGGAACAACAATCGCATCTTCAAGTCATCCGGGCACCAGCTGACCATCCTGTTTCACAGTGACAGCAGCATCACCCGGAGAGGTTTCCAGGCCTACTACTACTCGTTTCCTGGCTTCAGCAGCACGACAGGTAGGACCAGAGCCATCCTTTACTCTTTGCCAGGGCAGAAGCACAAACTGTTCTTAAGGGCCTGCTGTTAGCTCCTGACACCTATGGACAGCCAGACCCTCTGGCCTCACTGACAGGCGTTTTGGCTTGGGGGCACCTTTTTGGACAGGATTGCCACCAGACTGCTGCCAGAACGCTGTTTCTTTGCTGATGGGCAGGGATAGGGCTTTCTCCACCTCCGCCAGTGCTGCCGCTGGTCCATCATCTTTTTTTCTGACCTTTACCGCGGGCAGAGGAGTTGCTTGTTTATGGCACACTCACTACTACAGCTGCAGAGGCCAATATTGCTGCTCATGGTTACTACTTCGTTACTTCTCAAAATAAAGAGGGCTGATGTGTTCACACGCAATGCAGTGAACTCCTTTTTGCAGCTGAGGAGCTGTTAAGGAGCGAGCATGGCCACTGCTCTTTGCCTACAGCTCCAGGTAGCTCCAGCTCAACTCCCTCTGTGTCGCTGACCTCAGGTAGGGCCTGGAGGGCTTGAGGGGTCTGGGTATCTCTTGCCCTTGCTCAAGGTCATAGAATCACAGGATGGTTGATGTTGGAAGGGACCTCCAGAGGCCATCTAGTCCAACAACTCCTGCTAAACCCTTGCAGGCTTGTGTTGAACCTTGTGTTCACCAGGATCCCAGGGACCTTTTCTGGAGAGCTGCTTCTCAGCCGGGCAGCCCACCGTGCCTGCTGGTGCTTGGGGTTCTTCTTACCCAGGGGCAGGAGTTGGCACTTCTCCTTGTTGAACTGCATGAGGTTCCTGTTGGCCCATTTCTCCAGGCTGCCGAGGTCCCCCTGCATGGCAGCAGGACCCTCTGGTGTACCAGCCTTTCCTCCCATTTTGTTGTCATCAGCAAACTTGCTGAGGATCCACTCTGTCCCATCATCCTGACAATTAACAAAGAGATTTGAGGCCTTGCCGATGTATTGCACATGCAGAACATGAGCTGCACTCCAGGCTGGTGGGATGGAGGGGCAAGGCTTTGAGGTGCAGCCACACAGGGACCTGCCACACATCCAGGTGGTGATTGTAGGTCTTGGGTTTCAGTGTCCTGGGACCCCTTTAGGGGAGGGGTGACTCCCACAGGGTTGTTTCTATTAGGCAAAATGCTGCATGTTCACCTGCTGCTCTCTCCCTGCAGTACCAGATAACTCCAGCTCGACGCCCACCGTGTCATCAACCTCAGGTATGTCCGGAGGAGTTGAGGGGTCTGACTAGCTCCTGCACCCAGTTATGGACCACAGAATCACAGGATGGTTGAGGCTGGAAGGGACTTCTGGAAGTCATCTGGTTCAACCCGCTTGCTAAAACCAAAACCAAGTCATCTAGAGCTGGCTGCCCAAGACCATGTCCAGATGGCTTTTGACTATCTCCAGATGTGGAGAATCCAGCACTGCTGTGGGCAAGCTGTGCCATTGGTCAGTCACCCTCACAGTAAAAGTGTTTCCTGATCTTCAGGCAGAAAGTCTGTGAAGCATCTGAGATGGGGTCCGCAGATGGAAAGGATCATGTGTTTGTGTTGGGGCTGTGTGTATACGAGTTCAGGCAGAGGATTTGCTTGGTCCTGATTGTAGCCAACGAGATGATTGTTAATGCTCGCAATTTTGGGGCATACTCCTCTTCATTTAATACCAAAAGAACAATGCCTCAAATTACCCCAAAACAGCAGTGCAGGTGATTACACACCCAGTGTAGTCACTTATCTCTTTACAGTCGAGCAGTAATCTCACAAGTACTTAGGAAGAATTGTTTTCAACCACTTCATGAATACTGTTATTGCACTAATTTCTATATTTCAGCTGTTTGTTCAAGCACATCATTTGAGGATAGTGTGTATTTTGAAAGTTTAACTGTTTACATAGTAAACACTAGGTCAGTCAGAGAAGGGTTTATTCATGTTTGCTAGAAGTTGAAAATAAAAACTGAAAATCTCTTAGACTTCAGTAGGTCTCTTGTTCCTTCTTTAGGTTGAAAGAAGTAAATGTGGGGTTTTTTTCTAATTTGGAATGTAGTTCAGAAGAAGGTGTTCATTTACAGATTTCTCTTTTCTTGGAGTAGTTCGAGCTTGTACTGACAAGTGTCCTAGAAATCCATTACTTTATTTCACTTCTCAACTTTCCTAGATCTTGATTCCCCTGTTATTTGGTTAGGCTGCAACTGATCTACATATAAATTTCGTACAATTTTTTTGACTGTGACATAAGGTCTTCATGTTTATGAATTGGATATTTGTCAGCATTCTTGTTTGGAAACAAAATACTTTTGTTCTTTTTTTTGTTTTCCTTTGGTCATTAGAAATTGTAATAGAGGCAAACCAGGCTCAGTTGTGACTTTGTCTCTGTCAAGGACCAGCTGGTCTCCAGGGGTCCAACTTCAATAACTGTACAGTTCTATGACAAATACTCATACCCTACTAGTGCAGACACTGAAGATCAGCATTATAAAAGCTGTTCAGTGTGCTTAGCATCTCCTAATCTGCATTCAGATGATATATGGACCTAATAGAAAGACCATTGAAGCTGGTAGAAGTCACTGCCTCTAAATTTTAGCCTTATAAATCCTACATAGACATATTCCAAAAGCAACCTTAGATGGTGTATATGTATATTTTTCTTCTCATATTTTTCTCTGCAGAAGATTCTTCTTGTGGCGGCTTGCTTTCCTCTTCATCTGGTACATTACAGAGTCCATTTTACCCTAGAAATTATCCAAACAATGCCAACTGTGTTTGGGAAATAGAAGTAAAGAGCAACTTCCGTGTCACACTCACATTTAGAGACGTTCAGTAAGTAAAAATTTATTACTTGGGAAGATAAATGTATAGGATTGACATCTTGGACTTACTAAGCAGATAGCTGCTTGATTTCAAGGATCTTTTTCAAAGCTTTTGGTATGTCTGAGGTGAAAAATATGTCCATTTCTGTTTATATAGTCAATAATGTAGCTGGCATCTAATGAGACAGAAATTGGAGGCTATAATTTCTGTTCCAGAGATTTGATAATCATATCAGTAAAATGTACTCTTTTGCTATGAACTCAGTTAATCTGAGTTCAAAAAAAAAAGGGGGGGGGGGGGGAATGAATAATAAAATAAAAATGAAACATTGAACTAAATAGTCATGTTTGCTCCCCAGGATGGAAGGTGGCAGATGCCTGTCTGACTACGTGGAAGTCTATGATGGGCCCCTCCATACCTCTCCTCTCCTTGGGAAATTTTGTTCTGGTTCTTTACGCACATACACATCTTCCTCAAACCTGCTGACTGTCCAATTTTACAGTAATTCTCGATACACATACAGAGGGTTTCAGGCTGACTATTATTCCACTCCAGCAGATCAGAGCACTAGTAAGTTCATGTTTAAAGCAGGAACCTGCTTCTCAATTATTTGCTAATTCACAAATTGTTCATCACGTTGTACCACTTCAACGAATCACCCATGTCATGTTATTTTAAATTAGATCTGTAGTGTTTCATAGAGGTGCAAGAGTACGGTTTGGATTCTGAACTCCTTCTGCAATATCATCTGCTTCTGCAAAAGATACTGTTTATTTAAGTCACAACTTAGAACCTTTCTTGGTCACTTCGATGAGCTTGTAACGTATTTTCTTTGCCATCCGTTAGCACTGCTGTGTTTACCAGAACACATGCATGTAGTTGTGAGCAGATACTACCTTCAGTCACAGGGCTACTCTGCTTGGAATCTCACCGTGAATGACCCCCATTGCAAACCCAACATTACATCATCCTATGTTATATTCGACATACCGTACACTCGCTGCGGCACGGTGAGAGAGGTATGACTTCAAATGTTTCAACAAAATATGCAAATATTGTGAGTGAGTGTGTAAAAAATTCAAATCAAAGAATTCGTTTTGCAAACCAGCACGAAATGAAAGCTATACTGGGGTCTGCAGGGACTGGAAGTGTCCTGGTAATTATGGGCTGCCTCCCCTCTCCTGAACGATAAGGTTGATCAACACTTGTATTCCCTGTGCCTGCTGCCAGAGCATTCACTTATAGCCTGTTATTGATCTCCTAAGAAATAAAGTGCAGAAGGAAGTAAATACTTGGCATTTTCCAGGTCCTAAGCTGAGTGTGGTGGTTAAAAAAGTCTCAAAGTCTTTACTAAATATGACCAATCATCATATTGGTCAGATTTCAGCTTAAATACTGTGCTGGTCCAGAACCTTCAGGCATTTAATGTTCAAAGCATCGTAGAGGTTGTATTTAATTCAGTTGTGTCTGCATTTAGTGTGAGCAGTTTTCTAGGCCCACACTGTAGTCACTGAATATTACACATAGATTACAGATTCTTATCTTGAAAACAGAAATTACTAGGTTCAGACTTCTCCACGGCAGACTTTCTGGGAAATAATGCATTTACTGTGCACATTGCTGTAAGGATACAGCAAAGTTTAGAATGAATAATAAGAAACCTGACTATATGAATTAATTTTGCATTTTATTTTATATGTCAAACAGGGAAACAACAATACAATAATCTATTCCAACCTTATTAGAGGATCCTCTTCTGGTACTGTAATCACAAGAAATAAAAATCTCCACTTGCATATCAACTGCAAAATGCTTCAGAACACATGGGCACAAATAATGTATGTTGCGGAGGACAATTTTGAAGTCAATGAAACTCAGTATGGCAGATATGATGTAAACCTTACATTTTATCATTCTGCATCCTTCTCACGGCCAGTGAATCACTCACCATACTATGTTGATATCAACCAGAATTTGTTCCTTGAAGCTTACCTGCACAGCTCTGATCCAAACCTGGTGTTATTTGTGGACACATGTGTGGCATCTCCCACCCCCCACAATTTTACGACAGTGACCTACGATATAATCAGGAATGGGTAAGCTCTTATGCATTGCAATTACAGCTAGAACGGCTTTTGAACTCCTGTATCTTTTTTTTTTTTTGTTTAATGGAATAGTGTGAATACAGCATACATTAATGTCAGCTGCTAACTAATTAGTGAACACGGGCATTTGGGTTTATTGAGGGAAGGGCAATGGATTAACTCAAAGTATAACACCACACACACTCCCCGGCTTAAAATGACACATAGACTAAATGGCTATGGCCACTTCACTGTGGATTCTTATTACCAGAGAAGTAACAATGATATATCTCAGGTAAGGATAATTCACTTCCCGAAAAACATACAAGCACTAGGTATCTAGGCACACGACAGGCTGAAGGGAGTTATCACCGCTCAATGCTGCCAAAGAAAGGCATCTTGCTTTTCCTAATTGCAAGTTTCCAAAATGATTTCATCACATTTTAAAAATCACTTTTCATGTTATGTGTTATATGGCATGTAAATGACTGATTGCAGTATGTATTCATAAGAGGGGGTTTTTTTGTTTCTTTTTAGGTGTGTTCGAGATTCTACCTATGCTACATATTATTCACCCTACAAACACATGGTCCGTTTTAAATTCAATGCCTTCCAGTTTATTCGTCACAGTCCATCGGTTTACCTGCAGTGTGAATTAGTGGTGTGCAGGGCCTATGACTATTCCTCCAGATGCTACCAAGGTTGTATTACTGGGGCCAAGAGAGAGGCAAGATCTGGCCAAGAAAGGGTGACTGTTGTTGTTGGCCCAATACAACTTCAGGAAGCTAGTGCTGCAAATAGGAATGCACGTCATTTTAAATAAAACTGTCTCCTTTAGTAGACAGCATCTTTAAATGACAATTTAATTCTGAAAGAAAGTACGCTGCTGCTGGTTTACCAGCAACTCTACGATAAATATTAGGAATGTGCTTACTGACTTCTGCCTGTTAACCCCACTTCACATCAGTTGCCTTCATCCGCATCTAACAAAAATGCTGATTCAGCAGTTCTGTGGGAAGTGTGATAAGACAGGGCACAGGCAGCTCTGTGGAACTCACCTGTTCCCAAACCGCCTGCAATTTGGGGCTGCCGTCTCTGAAAATCCAGTCCGAAAGCTTCCCTGGCAAATTTGCAATTTCTAAACTTTTTGTTTGTTGTTTGTTTTCTTAATCTTAAAACTGAAATGTTTAAGTTGCAGTTTAAGTTCTATAAACATACTCTACTAATACAAACCTGAATCTGGATGTATCAGAGTGCAAGAAATTGATTAATCTTTAAATCTGATCTAGAGTGCCTTTTTTTTCATTTTTTATATTTCGGAGATAGCAAGATGAGGGATCAAATGTAACCAGGCCCTCTCATTTTTCCCAGAGCTGGACTCTTTTGTCATCCAGGAGAACATGAATTCAGCTCCTGCTCCAACTGATGTTTCTCATGTACCGTTTATTATTGCTGTCGGGCCCCTGGCAGGTGCTGTTTTCACTCTTGTTGGGTTTCTTTTGAAACATAAAGTGAAGAAACCAGTTCCATACCAGATCATGTGAGACTTGGTACACTCCTGCAGCTGAATAATTTGATGGATGGAGTAATTTCCTTGCATTGAGTAATTTCTTTGACAATTCAAGATTAAAATCTGAGCACGATAGGCATCCTGTGGTGATGGCTCTCCTCATGAGAAGAGGTAGGCTTGACATAACAACTCAGCATTGAAGGAAGCCAGAAGACCAGGAAAAGTTTGCAGCTCAACAACAACCCTCTAATTAGTTGCTACCTGCAATATTAGGTGCTCAAATCTTAATATGGTACCTGAATCGTCAACTTCCTCCTCTCAAGATGGGTATCTTGACTCTGCTAGTGGAAATTACTACCTGGGTTTACCATTACCCAGATGGCCAGTTCCTGCTCCACACCAAACATGAATTGGTTTCCCTCTTCCTCAGGTGTAAATTAAGGTCAGGAGTCCTTCCTCTCCATAGGGCAGTTGCGAGTGCAGCACATCATGTGTGCTGGGTGATAGCCAGTAACGGAGCCATTTGCATGCCTCTGAAAAGTACTTTGATAAATCCCAACGTGATGCAATGTATTTCAATTTACCCTTCGGGCAAGCCTAGTGCTGTTGAAACCGCCCTGTAGTGTTCCCTGTTTCCACTGCAGTCAGTGCTAACAGGCAAAATACTTGAACGCAAGTACTGCTGTTGTACTCTGCAAAGCTTTCTGTCAAGTCCTGCTTTCTATCAATTCTAATTTTCTAAGATGGAGATTAAATTTTGCATAAAAATTGCATGGCATAATGAAATGTTTCGGATGGAGAAGGTTTTATGCAGCTAAGAATATCCAGACAATTACACACGACTGAAAGAGAAAAATTATTCTACCAACTGCATACGGATCCTCATAGAGAACATCTGATTGTTTTGTGAGTAGTTCTTTAGGGAGGTCTTTGTTGAGAGAACGAGCTATTTGAGCTCTTTTCCAGTTATGGCTGATTTCCAATATAAATTATGTAATTACAAAATCAGGAAGACAATGTTTCTAGTGTGATATTACTGTCTTGAGTCCTGAAAGTGTCTCTGCATTTGAACTCAAAGTTTTGCTGTCTTGAAGAACATCATCTGTAATAAAGAATTTTTCCAAGCAATATGTTCTTCACATGTTGTTCCTACAAGAACACAGGAACATCACATACCTCAGTTCTGGAAAAATCCAGGAAGATCCTATTTGTGGTCGAGATCTGCTATGGGAACAGCCCTACGTAGCAGCTTATGTCTATGAACTTACTGCCTAAGCCAGGCACTTCTGTAAAATTCATACAAATCCTTATTACACTATTACCGTGATGGTATAATTACTACTACAGCCTAACCTACCACCTCACTGTCAGCCAGAAACAATTCTGGAAAACAACTGAAAAGACCCATGTCTATTTTTGGGGAGTTTTTTTTATTTTTTCTTTGCTAATAAATATGGTCAAATGAAGCCAGTATAACTTTTTTAGGCAATACTATAGCTCTGCTTCGTATCAGGCAGACGTGCCAATTTATCTGTTTGCATTTCTGAGGAAAAAAATACAACTAGCAGCAACAAGTGAACATCATTGGGGGTAATAGTGCCTTCCTGGAGTGCACAAACATCTTGGCTGTTGCAGGATGGAAAAAGGGCTGTCGTTCCAAGAACACCTGGCTGCAATCCTCCTGCTCCAGGCTGAGACAGCCCTGACTCCTCCTCAGGGCATCCACAGCTCTGCTGGGTCAGTGCCATAGGGGTTGCAGGGGTGACCTAGCACAATTTTCCCCCTTCAGGTAACCGTTGCACACAACATCTGGTCATCACTGGGCTCTGAGAAAAACAGACCGCTGTATAAACTGACACGATATCAGTCTTGGCTACCTGACTGCAGCTTCCAGAAGGCAAACCCCATCATAGCCATCAGCCAACTGCAAGACTTCTCCTCCTGTTTTCCCAAACAGCAATAAATATTATGGGTGGTGCATGCTGGACTGAGATACTGGGAGATCTTAAACTGCTGGGCCATCAATAGGCAGCTTCTAGAAAGATCTTTGAAGAAGTTGGTGCCTTGAAGAATTGTTGTACTTCCTTGTCCCCTGCCTATGGCTGCCCGCATGAGCTGGGCTGCTCTCCTGCTGCGCCTGTGGTGACCATGGCGCAGGATGGGACAGAGCACAAAGATGCTGGCAGTGGAGCACACCTCATCGGAGACCTCATTGCGGAGCAGCTTTGCTTTGATGTGTCTGGAAAGTGCATTTTCACACTGGATTGCGTGTGATCAAGGCTGGCCCTGGACTGTGGCCAAGGCAGGCAGAAATGGACTTCAATGACTGTTCTCAGGACAGCTCCACCTGAGTCAACAGACCTTTGGTACCTTTATTGCAATAATTATGACCTTTGGAAGAAGGGACAGGCAACTCAGGAAGGCTACAAGGATGTCATGACATTATACAGGAAGAAGCCCAACTAGAACTTAATCTGGCTAGTGCTTTAAAAGACAATAAAAAATGTTCCTGTAAATACATTAGGAACAAAAGGAGGGCTAAGGAGACTCTCCATCCTTTATTGGATGAGGAGGGGAAACACAATGACAAAGGATGAGGAAAAGGCTGAGATACTTAATGCCTTCTTTGCCCCGTTCTTTAAGAGTAAGACCAGTTGTGCTCTAGGTACCCAGCCTCCTGAGCTGGAAGACAGGGAGGGGGAGCAGAACGAAGCCCCCATAATCCAAGGGGAAATGGTCAGCGACCTGCTACACCACTTGGACACACACAAGTCGATGGGACTGGATGGGATCCACCCAAGGGTACTGAGGGAGAATAAAGCTGGAGGAAATTTTTCTGTGGAAGATTTCTGAAGAAGAGGGCTAAAAGATTACATAGATTGAGGACTGAACTGGATCAGAGTTTAATGATTCACAAGTGCTTAATGTTTAAGACCAAAGTATGTGAAGTAGCTAAAGGGCTATAATAAATTTCTGTTATCGTGAAACTGCAACCTAAATAATTGCAGCAAAACACCAAATATCTCCATAATTTCTGCCTTTATTAAATATTGGTGAATGAATAGAAAAGATAGAAGCTTCCCTTTAGTGATATTTACACTGTC